ATAAAAAAAATAATTAAAATATTTATTTTAAATATATAATTACTTTTAGAAAAAATTATAACAAGTTTTTTAAAATAATAATTGAATATGTAAATAATAGAGTAAAAGATTTTGCATTAATAGCACATTTTAAAAAACTAATTTTTAATCTATTTTTCTCATGAAATTATTTATGCCGATAAAAATTTAACTTTTATAAATTGAAATAAAGGTTTTATTTCAATAAAAATTTTACATTATCTTCATTAACTTATTTAATGTAGTAAATTCTCAAAATTCTTAGATATTTTTATTAAAAATAAGTAAAAAAATAATTTATAAAAATATTAATTCCTATATATTAAATACAAACTTTTACTAAGAGTTTTTCTTCTATAAGAGAATTTTTAAAAAATTTTCTTAAATTTTTATCTAATTCAATTTTTGATAATCATAATTATTTATGAATTAAATTTTAATATTTTAAAAAATTATAATAAATAAAAAATATTGTATTATAATACAAATTACTTATCATAAATTTTAAATATAATTTATATATTTTAAAAAATTATTTATATAAATTTTTAATATAATTTATATATTCAACTATACTATTTATTTTTATATATAATTTGTTATAAATATTAGTTATATACGATAAATATTTAACATATATGTTAAATTACTTGTTTATAAATAATCTAAAAACATTTTTAACTAATTAAATATATTTTAGTTAATAATTAAAAAAATATTTTTTATTTATCATTTGAAACTATGATTCTCGATAATCATAATTTTTACACAACATAAAATTTTGTTTGCAATATTTATTTAAACTTAAATATAACTCAATTAAAATTTAAAGTATATAAGATAAAATTGAATTAACTAAACTTGTGAGTATTATATTGATATTAACATTATGTATGTTTAAATAATTGTAAACTTAAATGAATATATTTTACAATACATATTTCAAGATAAATAATAAAACATAAATATAATATATTATATTATATAAAATATTATTTATTACGGGAAAAAGTTGTATTGTAATATATAATAATTCTAAAAATTATATGTCAAACTTTTGAAGGTTGAGAGAATATGAAACATAATCCAAGCTCATCTTAAAACATATAAAGATTAACTTCTAAGTTTAAATGTTTCGTAATTTACTTCAAATTGAAACAGAGTCAGTATGTTCAAGATCAAAAACACTCCTGAAGCAAATAACTAAACTGCATGTTTTTTAACAGTAGCTTTACTGTTCTTTGACCTCTTCTTTTGCTTTTCTCTTTGAAAACAAAATTATTAAAATGTATTTTTATTTCCTACAAACGATTTTTTTATTTTTATTTATTTATTTATTTTATGAATATGATTGATTCCATATTTGAAAATTGACGATCAAAAAACTAATTTGTGGTTATAGAACATGATTTTTAATGATTAAACATTATTTTAATATTATCTCAACTCTTTTATTTTAAAATTACACATGATTTAATTATTCAATATTCCTTTCATTTGTATTTATAAGACTAAATTTAAAATAATTGTTTATCCCATTATACAAGACACAAATCATAATGTTAGGAAAAAAAAAAACAAACTTAAGTATGAGGGAAAATAAGTATATGAGATACACTATAATTAATTAAGAGAAAAGGTCAATATTAATCTTAATATTTTTTTTATTATATGTTTAACTAGTTTTTTTTTTTCTTTTTCATGTATAACATTAGTAATTTATGTCAATTTAAAAAAGTTGGAGGAATTGACACATGCCATATTTTATCTTAATATATATATATAAATTGAAGTAGTTCTTCAATTGTGTTATCTAGCACATTTTTCATCTAATACTTTACATATCCATTACAACTATTTTTCATTAAATGTTTTTCGTTTATAACTTTTAATTAATCAATTCAATTCATTTATTTAATGATAATTAATTATGCACGCACCCATGTTAAATTCTTTATTTATAACGTTAAATAATTA